GGTTCTGAAGAGACCCGAACCGACCCAAAACTTTCGGGTATTTAATAAATGGACCCATCGGGTCCAAATATAATTATGGACCCGTTCGAGTTCGGTTCCATTCGGTTCGGTTCGGGTCGGTTCCGTTCCGTTCGATTCCATACCATAATTAAATTTTTTAATATTTACAGCGACACTACATAAATACAACTAATGACATTTCATTTGTAACTTTTACAAATTAAGGTAACACAATTCAAAAACATATAAATAACTAGTCGTCCAATAAGATTAATTCAATGCATACAAATACCAAAAAGTAGATATTAATATTACAACAAAACTATATAAAGTATATTCATTTACTTCAAATTAAAATGGGCTAATGGATTTTAAAAATGATTTGTGCTTTAAAATTAAAATTATGAAATAATCTGATTTATTTAATTAATTTGCTAATTTGTATGAAAAAAATAAAATAATTTAATTAATTCAATATAAAAAATAAAAAAATTATTTAGTTTCGGTTCTTATTCGATTTTTCAGTTCTTAATCTAGACCCGAGACTCGACCCAAACCCATCGGTTCTCGATTCGGGTATCCGTTCGGGTATTTAATTTATGAAAAACCGCTCGATTCGGGTCCGGTTAGGTTCGGGACTTTTGGACACCCCTACCGAGCACTCAACCCGAGGAGCTTCAGGACCCACTAAGCCCGAACTCCACGACCTCCTTGAGCTAGGAGTCATCGGGCTCGGGTCAACAGTTAGAGGGGGCTTGGGTCAACAGCTAGAGGACAAGTTTGCTACTGAAGCCTCAAACCGTGCAATGCCTAACTTATTAGAAGCCTATTTCGCATCAAGATGCCCCCCTAAGAGGCCCAGCCCTTCTGCAAATGTGTCACCTCATTCTAAGAGGATTCTACTATCGGAATCACATCCTTTTCCAAGCATATGGATGATACAAAACTAATTAAGTTACAACTTTCAATTACGTTAAAACTCTTAGGGGTTTCAACATTGTAATCCTACTAAGAATGCACTACCCACCTCTATAAATACATCATTCCAAATCATTATCACGGTACATTTTTTGCATAATTTTTCAGCACATATCTTTTCATAAATTCTCTCTCTAACTTAAGTATCGGAGGGACGACGAGTATATACCTCGACGTCTTTATTTCAGGCGCTGGAAGACTTCGTTCGTGCTCGTTCTCGGTTGTCAATCTCAAAAGTCGACAGATACAATTTTTGGTAGCATCAGTTATGAAGCACATTTTCAGCAAAAATGGGGCTCGAACATGGCAATTAATGGATAATTATTAATATAGGATTCGAGTAATTAGGCTTGAGGTTAAAATTTCTCTTGAGATCGCCTTAATCTAGAATGTGAAAATGGTAGTCTAAAACATTATGATATCTTAAGCGAGTTGATGTCCTAGTATCTTTGTGTAAGTTAGCTGACATTTAATATTCTTGTAGAGATGAGTTCAATATAATAAATTTCATTAGCTTTGAAGATTTGTAAATGAAGTTCAGAGGGAAACCATCGTGATGAAATAGTAAATGTCATTGTTATTGTTACTTTATAGATTGTTAGAACTCTGCTACCTATACAAAAAATCTATACAAGTTCAAATTCATGAACATTCATTCATCTGTCATTCAATTGTACAGATTTTCTTGTACGATAGCTACAAGTGTTATTGAATATAGTTTTGAACAACCTTGCATAAAGTAACAGAGTCGATGACAAACTTAAAGACGGAAGGAAAACGTGTTTATACATAATTGGACAGCTAAAAATATAAAAATACAACACCGAGTTTCATCCTCCCACAATATCCTATCATCTCATCTCCCATCATTGACCCTGACCAAGAAGCATTTTTCAGTTTTTAGTCGGTTTCCTTTTCCCTCCCACCCTACCCTTTGGGGGTGCTTACGCCTAATTTGATACTACACGGCTTTGAAATACCAGAATTAGCGAACATGACCAGAAATTGGGGACCAGACAAACAGTACTTTTTGACTATTCACACTTGACACTTGAATTTAGATTTTCTCCACAGTAATTAAATAGTTCTGACGTCATCATGCACGTGGATATTTTTGTCAAGGTACATTCTTAGCGTGCTGCGTGCATAAAAATTGGTACATAACGTGTCAATACCCTTTTATTGGACCAAATAAAATACATTTACGTCACTTTTTACATTGTGTCACGTAACAACAAGCTATTGAACAATTTAAAAAAATAAACGATTTTTAACCAATCAAACCATGCCAACTTGGATGATATCAAAAGTGATGTACACTTTTTATTGGGTAAAACCACTTTGACAGAAACATGTTGACGATTCTTTGACATAATAGGTGTTGATAAGATATGATTTGATGAAAAAATTGATTATATTTTAAACAGTTCAATGATAAGATGACATGTGATATTATGTCAAAAACTATGTCAATCATTATATTATTGTAGCATAATTCTTATTTTTATTACCTTATGTATCAAATAATTAGTCGTCACGTGTACATTATGTAGAACAGTTACGATAATAAAAGATTGCAAATAACATTATTATTTTTTAATTCATAAAGTCATTCAGCACAATCAAACCATCTTAAAGCTCTAAGAAGTAGGCTTAGATGGGAGACGGAGTCAGAGGGCTAGATAAATTGACTCAGAGATGAAATAAGGTAGGTAACGATGATAAAAAATAATAAATAAATAAAATTGAATTACTATCTTTTAGTGTGCAACTGTAGTCTTTCCAACTTCATGATAAGAGAGACTTGCACCTCTTAGAAAAATCAATTCTTGTCACAAATCAAGACAAAATTCGTTGACTCGTTCACGGTCTGTGATTCACGGTCAGGATAAATCGATCAAGCTGTACGTTCATCAGACCTTCAAACAATTGGCAGGACGAAAAGCACCACCAGAGACCAAAATTAGAAAAAATAAAGGTTCAAACTTTGGATTATAAATTTCAGAAAATTCCAGGCAAGAGTGGCGGGGGTACGTTTTAATTGATTTTCCAGAATTTCTAGAAGATGGGCTTTTCTTAGAATTTACTTTTTCTTCTAGTTGTGGAATTTTAACAGTGAATATTATTTATTTATTTTGCCCTTTTTCCTCTGGATTTTGTTCAGTTCAATCTCACAAGTCACAGCAAGTGTATCTGGTAAATATTTTGATCTTTTTTATTTAAGGATGTTTTGGATGCTTGTTTGTTATTTAAAGGGTTACTCTCCTTTGGACTTTTGATTTGTTTTGTGTTTGATTGTTGCTTTTGCACCAAACCAACCTTACAATCTGAAATTTTTTAATCTAAAAATGATGTAATAAAAGGGTTTATACTTTAGTTTACCATTTATTATCGTCAAAGCTCAAAATCCATAATTTTTTCATTTTTCAGAAGTTCATTTACATCTGTTCATCTATTGAATTTTGCAGATTATTGATCCAGGGTTTCAAAGGTAATTTTGCTTATTTTTGTTGCTTGTGATTGTAATTCCTTTAGATTAAATGTTTGTAGGATTTATCTCTCTCTCTGAACATAGAAATTGTGTTGAATCTTAATCTTCTGTTGTTGATATGTTGCTTTGGGAGAAGCTGATTGCCTGTTTCTCTGCGGTGTACGGCGTATAATTGACTCTGTTATGCCGAAATGGAAGTCCAAATATTCTAAATTTAAACAGAATTGTGTCATGTGCTATGATATTATTGTGATTATCAGAACTGAAAAGTCAACTCTGATTTTTTGAATCCCTCTTAAGCACGGAGATTCAGATAATTGGTCGAGGTTTTTAGTATAGCATGTATATTGCTTAGTTCATAGTTCCGGTCGTGATCCTGGGAAATATATGGTGGAGAACCCACTTCACCCACCCTGTTGTCGGACCTTGGGGAACGTAATCATATTGAACACCTTTTCTCTCGATTGCAGATCGACCTAATTTTTAAATTTGATAACCTGTAGTTGTAGGAGTCGAAAAGGTTGGTTGTTACCATTTTTTATGCAGAAATCTGTTTTGCTAGTATTCATATTTAAATGCAACCTCCTGGCCACAAATATAGTTACTACTCGAGTCAGGGTTTCAGATCAACAAGTAGATATCCCCTTGATCATTAAATATTCATTCGGGACAATAATAAAGACTGATTAATACACGTGTGCTAATTTTTAGTTTGTTTTACTTCAATTTTGATTCTTCTTTCTGATGACCACAGGAATTCAACTACGCCTGCTATATATTGCATGTCTTGGTTTATTGCTGTTCAGAAGTATTAAGAGTCAATATCTGATCCGAGACAGGATAAATCATTGAATGATGCAATAACCTTCTTTTTCCTGACAATTAAAAGTGAACCATGTCTTTAGTCAGACCTGCTGCATTGTTTGGAAATCATGAACTTCATTCACTGAGGGAAGGCGACGATTCCTCTGGATTATCGACATCCATATTTAACTCAGACAATCACGGGATAGTTTATACCTCTGAATCTTGCTTCACTGAGAGTTATGATCCGAAGTATTTCCTCAACTCACCATCAGAAGAACTTGTACACACATCTGACTCCGATGTCCTGAAAAATGCATTTCACCAGTCACATTCCTCCTCTTTTGTGGCGTCATACGATTTTGATTTCGAATCAGAATATTTAAATGGTCGAAGTCCAGATGCTGTAGACTATGATGAAGATAAGATGAGGTTGAAACTTCAAGAACTTGAGACGGTGCTTCTTAATGATAGTGCTGCCAACGGCGATGCTGCTGCTGCTGCTTTTGGTACTGATCATAGTATGGAAATAGATGGTGAATGGTCCGACCAGACCCTTAATGGATTGCTTCATGAATCGCCTAAGGAATCTTCATCATCAGATTCGAATCTTAGTAGCATAAGCAGCAGTAAGGAAATATCAATTACCAATTTGCAATCTCCAAAGCGCTTGCTTTTTGAATGTGCTGCTGCCATCCGAGTTGGGAACTTCGAGGAAGCATCATCGATGATCAATGATCTCAGGCAAAAGGTCTCTATCCAGGGAGATCCGTCTGAAAGGATTGCAGCCTATATGGTAGAAGCACTGACAGCCCGGATGGCTACCTCTGGGAAGGGTCTTTATGAAGCTCTAAAATGCAAAGAACCCCCATCTTCTCTTCGACTTTCTGCAATGCAAGTCCTCTTTGAGGTTTGCCCGTGCTTCAGGTTTGGATTTACGGCAGCAAATGGTGCCATTTTAGAGGCATTTAAAGATGAAAAGAGAGTGCATATCATAGATTTTGACATTAACCAAGGAAGTCAGTATTACACGCTGCTGCAAACCATGGCTAAAATTCCTGGTAATCGACCACACGTGAGATTAACTGGGGTGGATGACCCTGAATCAGTTCAACGTTCTGTGGGAGGCCTAAAAGTCATTGGGCGACGGCTTGAGCAACTTGCTGAAGATCTTCAGCTTTCATTTGAATTTCAAGCTGTGGCTGCTGAAACTGCTTTAGTTTCTCCATCAATGCTCGACTGCCAACCTGGAGAAGCTCTAATCGTGAACTTTGCATTCCAGCTCCACCACATGCCGGACGAGAGTGTATCGACAGTAAACCTACGGGATCAGCTTCTCCGTATGGTCAAAGGCTTGAACCCAAAACTAGTTACTGTTGTTGAACAAGATGTGAATACGAATACAGCCCCCTTTTTACCAAGATTTGCTGAAGCCTACAATTACTACTCCGCTGTGTTTGAATCTCTTGATGCAACTCTCCCACGGAATAGTCAAGACCGAATGAACGTAGAGAAACATTGTCTGGCACGTGACATAGTTAACATTGTTGCATGTGAGGGGGAGGAAAGAATAGAGCGGTATGAGGTTGCTGGAAAATGGAGGGCAAGGATGAGTATGGCTGGTTTCACTCCTCGTCCAATTAGTCAAAATGTGAGCACTGAAATTCAAAAGGTCATAAAGCAGTATTCGGACAGATTCAGGGTGAAAGAGGAGACGGGGGCTCTCCACTTCGGATGGGAAGACAAAATCTTGATAGTCACTTCTGCATGGAGGTAAAATACTCATAATTTGATCGAAGGAAGAAAAAGACACGGTGCAGTTACTGCAGTAGCACTTTTTTTCGGATAATTTGATGCATAACAGATGGGTAATGTATGATCAAACCAGTTGATGAAAACTTCCTACTTTTGTTCTAATGTAGGTCTTTAACAATATTTAGATGTGTAATTGTAGTAAACTTCTATGCGCCAACTCTTGTTTCGAAATCTGCTTAAAGATCTACCTCGTTATCCAGTTGAGTTCTCATTCGCAATTATTCGGCAAGAGCTGCTTTTGCATTTGTAAATAGCTAGTGGCAAGATCATCGAACTTGGTAAATAGTCATTAGTCCTTGACTGTTCTCCGCTTCTGTTATATCTTCACCGGGATTTTGAACCCAACAGGAAGTTGTATCTTGGCTGCACATATTAAACACAAAAATTCCTCGTGAAGATGTCAGCTTGACAGCGCTACAAGATGCGGGTTTATAGTCTTTTACTGTCATCCTTGACGAAGGAAATAAGACTTTCTTGTGAAGGAAATACTCATGAATGAAAAACTACAGGTACATAATTTGAGGATAAAACGACAAACAAACACGGAACATATGGAACATGAGAATTCAAGACATGATAATCTAGTCCATACTAGGTGAGATTCCTAGAGAATTTCTCAATTTACAGGGTCACTTCAGTGTTGAAAATCCAGCTGAATTTCACACTCTGTGCCTTCATCTTCTTGGCTCGTTCATCGGCTCGCTCTTGCAACTTCCTGATCCTCGACGGCAGCCCACACACGAAGTCCTGTGCACATCTCCCTTCACCTCTTAAACCCTCCAACTTCTTTAATCTCCACCGTCCAATCAAGAACTCCAGAATGTCAGCATAATCATTGAGTGTGTATACCCCAAGTCTCTGTGCCACAGCCGAAAAATGCTCAAAGAGATGTTCGTCGTGCCCATCGTACATCAAATGGGCAGGCATTGTGATTTTCTTTCTCATCATGTCTCCAATGGCAATCATGGTTTCGTTTGTATCAACCTCGAGCAACTTTTCGACGATCTTCACGTATGCATTCTCGTGACGTTTTTCGTCTGCTGCGATGGTCCCACATATGCGAGAAAGTACGGGATCCCCGCCTTCCTTGGCTAGCCGTGCCGTGTTGCCATGAGACACAAATGTGGCTCGTTCTTGAAATGATGTGTACACGAAGCCTAAATAAGGACTGTTTTCTGTCCCTGGATTCTGTAAATCCCAAGCCTGAACTAGTCAATTTCTATCAAGTAGGGACCAATGCAGTTTCAAATTGAAAATTTGGGGCCTTGATGAGAAAACAATTAGTCAGATTAATTTCACCAATGGCCATTGAACTTTGTACTTAATATCACCTTGACCACTAAACGTTAATCTATTTTAGACTCGTCATTAAACTTTACAAAATATTTCACTCAAACCACCAATTCATTTTGATGTCAATTTTTTTTAACTGGACATTCCATTTGTCCATATGCCAACTCGTATTAACTGAAAATCCGAATGGTTTGATGACTCAATACACGAACATTGAATCAGTTATTCAAATGAAACATACTGTAAAATGAAGCGATGAAAAATATTGTTTTATTTTTATAAATAAACACTAAGGGTCAGTTTCATTCTTATTATTGTAAAATGAGAATGAAAAATATAACTATTATTGGGTCCCACACAAGAGATAGAAATTCAAAATTGATGACTTGATGTGATAGATACCAATCATATTTTTCATTTTTATGAATGAAAAATGAGAAACAAACGGAGGCTAAAATGTGAATTTAACAGCCCGTTCGTTATCTCTAAAAATCTGATTAAAATTTAAGTTAAAATTAACAATTAATTTTAAACATATATTTTATGGATCGACAGTTGTTCAAATACACGTTTCATCAACTTTTATCAAAATAAACTTAAAACCTGATTTTAACCTAAAACAAACAGAGGCTAAGTTTGAAAAAGAAAATATTGAATTGTTAATAAAAATTACCATTCCAGCTCCAATCAAGTACTGCACGGTCCTCTCAATCATGGACATATCAACCCGACCCGAAAGATACAGATAGGTTCTCAGCAAATCACCATGCCGGTTCTCCTCAGCGGTCCAGGCCCTAGTCCACGAGGCCCATGGGCTTGGGCTGGCCCCAGTCTCGTCCTTTACCCCATCAAGAGTGTTGATCATGGTCTGATAAGTGGGCAATGCATCTTCAGTGATCATATCACCCACCAAAACTACAAAATACTCGTCGGGAATCTCGGCCGTCCGTTCACGGAGGGCCTTGATTGAATCAGTGAAGTGTTCAAACGGCTGGGATGGGTCCGGGAGGAAGTCGTTGGGTTGCCAGCATTGGTCTACGGGCTTGAGGAGAGGGAGGATACCCTGAGAGGCCCAAGATTCTAGTGACTTGAACACCTCCACTTTCTCAGGTGGCATAGAGTGGGTAACCTGGTGGCGTTGAAGTGGTCGTGTGAGAGAGGAGATAGGTGGTGGACGGTGGAGAGTGGTGGCGCGGCGCTGGCGGCCACGTGGTGTGCATGCAAGTTGGGTGGTGGTGATGTGCGAGAAATAGAATGCCAAGGTTTGCATGGCTGATGGATAATGTGTGTTGTGATTGTGAGAGAACTAAAGAAGTGACTAACATTTATTAGGAGGCGTTTTTATTATTTGACCTGCTTGTTAGTCACAATTACAGTTATGCAATTTTATGTGCCCCTGTATAGTTTTTATAAAAATAAAATTTTCGATAGATTTTATTAAAATTCGATGAAATGTTTTGTTGAAAAGTTGATAAAAATTATGGATCTAATGAAATGTGTGATTAAAGAATAAGTTTTAGAAAATGAGGGCTCGACAAGGGCGTAACTTACATAATAAGGTCTGGTGATTTCGATAAAATATTAATTTTCTTGTAGATTTTGACGTAAGTTGATGGAAGATAGTTAATGAATTGTGTGATTAAAATTATTTGTTAAATTTATATTAAAGTTTAATTAATTTTTTTAGTTGAATCAAACCAGGGCTAAAGGAGTTTTATGAGCACAATTTCAAAATTTTACTTTGTAATGGAAGCCATACATAAGAAGTAAATATCGAGGGTGTTCTAGTTATTTGACACCGGGGCATTTCGGGTAGCAAGAAAAACTAGGGGTGGATGCAGTGGTTTTCAGAGGAGAAACTTTCTGTGGATTGTGGTGGTGATGTGTAAAAATTTGAACTATGCCGGGAATCCATACATTGGTGGGAAAAGTGGGGGAATATGGTGTAGATCATACCACGTGAAAGAGTGTAACCAACAATGTAATTCACAATGTTTCCGTAGTTGCTTTGAATTTGAATTACCCCTTGAAAATTGTGTTTGCAACTAATCCTTTGTATAACACTATAGAAAACCAGCTTCTAATTGATTGATTTGATTAAGTTAGTTTGAATTAGACCAACAATAGATGAAAACTTGTAACAAGTGAACCTATCTCCGAATTCCTTGACTAACACACGAGTGGAATTGTCTAAAAAGCCAACCAATCGGATCCTTCCCAACTCGACCACATGGATGTGGGATCCAGTTATAAGAAATGCTATCAACACTGAGGATCATTTAGCGAGACACGAGATTTTCTAATGGAACCTCAAAGCTCTATCCATCGAACAAAAGGAATTATGATCCTCAATAAAATCAAAAAATCATGTTCATATAACTCGTGACAATAGGACAAAATATGATAAAGACATGACATTTGATGTGAAATTGTGTATACTATTGTATCATAATAGTAAAACTGTCATGTACTTGTAGGTGATTATAGGAGAACATTTGTTTGTTAATTAAGGTTCCAACCGAATTTCGTGGCAACAGAATCCTTTTTAAGATCTTGAACATTAGTAGCATGAAAGACAATGTAAACAATAGCTTGCATAGTGGTTCATCATCTATCAATTCTAAGCTTTGTCCTATCCAATCCAACAATGGAACAAAGGAATCACCTAATTCTCATTAATTTCACATAAACACCAGAACACAAGCAACAATTCTGATAATGTATGATTTGTTCTCGACTATGCAGTGTCAATAACATTTGTAACAAAAATCAAACCTGTCGAAAAGGCTATCATTTCTCAGGTAATGGGAAAACAGAGTCTAAGAGGTCAATACTAATCAAAACAAATGTAGAATAATTCAGGCTAACTCTTGAAAGTTCAATACTATACTACTATACTTGCTTCCAGGCAAATCAAAACTTTATATACACTCACGAATAGGATGGTGAAGATCTGAGTAAGCAGCAGATACACAGGTTAATTCCATTAGCCAGCTAACATGGGATATACTCCTCAATTGCTGGCATGGATAAGCAGTTGTTGCAAAACCAGACGAATTCATGTTAGGAAGAAAATTAGGAACCTCAAGATGATTTTTTTGTGCCTTCCTTTTTCCTCAAATTAGTAAAACAGGGAAGGGAGTCTTGAAAGTATAAGTCCTTCTATTGTCATGTGCTTCCATCTTCCCAAAGGGAACTCCTTTTCCATTTTATATTGTATTATGATACCAGCATAACATATAATTTATCAGGGGGATGGCTTCCAATCGAATTGAAGGTCATTGAAACCATTGGCAGCTCCAAGACCACCAAGTAGCTCATTATCGAGGTTCTGCTGTGGCTGATTCGTGCTCTGCTCTCGGGCAACCGCCATGCCCGCTCTTCTATTCATATTCATAGAGGTATTCTCTAGCGTTGCTTGAATCCCATTCACCATATCAAATTGTCCAAGCCCATTGCCCATGGCTCCGAAGCCTGCACCACCAATATTTAGGTTACCATTGGCCACTCCGTTCGCTATAACGCCGTTCCTACCACTCAAACCGCTATTATTGCTGGATGATGACAGCCCATTGACATTTTTCACATCATTACTCGTAGTCCTCATGTTCATCATGCTGCCTCCGCCAAGCTGGGAAGACATCATTTCTTGTATAATCTTTTGAACAGAGCTTTGTGAATCACTAGCATCTGCATCCCAAGAAAGAGCTGCTGGCTGCTGCATTGAGATGTTAGGCGAATTCGAGTTCATGTGTGCTCCTCCTGATAAGCCACGATGTGAAGTTTGTTGCAGTGGATTATTGAATGACGGCAGAGTTTGCGATTGGAAGGCAGGACTAGATTGAGGTTGTGGCATGGTATTGGAATTACCAGTGGATGGCATCAGCACATTATTGTCTTCATAAGGACTGTTTGCAGTATTCATTGGATTTTGCTGTCTAGAGTTCCTTGAGTTTTGGTGAACAAGGCCAATGTTGGTACCAGCAGAAGTTATTGCCGGGACTGAGTTCAGAGTGTTACTGACTCTCGGCATGCCACCATTGGTAGAAGCAAGCTGCATTGCAGCAGCCTGGACAGAGCCATTATTGTTCAAGTTTTGAACCATTATTTGCTGTTGCTGCTGAAGGTGGCCCCCTGATTGTTGAGGTTCACCCTGGAAATCACGTGGAGGATTCAGCCGAGGATACTTCGACAAACTCTCTGGGAAGAAAAATTAACCATGCTCAGTAATTTAAACAGTAGGTGCATAAAAAAAATTTAACACATGGAACAGTGTTGAATTACAAATTGGAGGACAGTAATCCTCAAGTCTGAGTAACTAAAAATATGAATCCACATTTTACAGAATTGGTTGATTTATTACATTTTGTAGACTTGGGATGCTCTCCATCCATGATATGAAGAAGCGTAACAGTCAATTTTCCTTTCAGTTTTCAATTTTTCAATAATAAATTAAAGAAGTATTTCAATCAGGAGCCTAGTTTTCTCTCCTCCTTTTTCATCAAATTTTCACCTTGGTTCCTTGAGAATAGATGCCAACATGGAGACAGGCATTTCAATAACATAGTAATTAAAGTATGCTATTACCTCGAAGATACCTAAAGGCGCAACAAGAGGAAAGGACTATCCACAAAAAGAAGTAAACAAAAAGAGTATGAAACATAAGAGAGAAGACTACAAATGAGAACTGTTGCAATCCAAAAATTGGTCAAGTTCCTACTTATTCTGCAACCTACAGAAACTCGCACTAATTTGATATTCATTTAACATCATCATATTGCACACACTGAAAGGTAACAAAAAAATGGGTCCATTCCCCATGACACACTATCCACAACCTCACTGCCTCATATAGCATTGCCAAAGTTCTTGAAACTCAATTTTGCCATGCCTACCATCTGTGGTTGTGCACAGAATCCTGTTCCTCCTAGCTATGTCGTTGGTCATTTCATCTATCAAAGAATCTTATAGTATCTAATCCTTTGCTCTCAGTTATCAAAAGTCATTCACTATCTCAGGTTACTTTCCCTTAGTTTATCTGCCGTAAATAATATTTTTCAAAGATATTATTGGTCCTTGTTCTATCTTCTTTAAGCTCGTATGCACATCAACATCATCATCTTAGCCACATGTCACCCATAAATGTTTCTGGTTCGTTCATGATTAGAGGACACATAACAAAGCACAAACTTACTGCAGTGCCCTGTATTTTCCTTTCAATATACATTAGGTAGTATCTAGTTACATTACATACAAGTAAATTTGGAACTCAGTAGAACTACTCGAACTTCATCTTCAAACTCTCCTCTTCTATGATATATAAAGGGAACTGGTGGAAAGAAACAAAAGAGAAGAACTATCTTACCCATAGGACCAGACCTAGATTCACTGCTGAAGTCAATTAAATCTTTCATGCTATTTACCACTTCTGATATCTGCAACATCGACAAGCAAAAAAGTGTCATTATAAACTAGTACATGGTTCAATAGGTCATTCTTCAATGCGAACTACAAAGCGGCTATTTTCCAATAAATTCTACTTCTCTATCTTTGACCATGATGGCAAAATGTTTTGAAAAGGCCGATTGGTTTATTGGCCTGTTATTTTATTCATTAGCTAAAAGGGTAAATTGCTTTATTTATGGTTCAGTTTTTTATTTATATTTGAATTGCATTTAAAAAGGTAAGACCATGTCTGAGCTTTTTAAGAAAATAAAAGGTCTAGTTCGGCAAGTTCAAAAAAAACAAAAAAAAAGTGTTTTCCTTTTCTAGGGTTTAGAACCCCTCTTGCGCAGGCGATGCCATTCCTCCTGCGCGGGCAATGAAATGGTCCTTGCACCGGCAGTTACAAACCAGGTAGTATTCCATTTTTATTTTTTTTCAATTAATTTAAAAAGCTCAGTGTGTCCAGTGGTAGAAAATCAGCCAATAATTTGACACTTTATAATGGCATTTCCAAAACATGTCATTGTCCGTTATGAGTGGGACACTGACTCACTGGCGCCGGAGTGTTGGTGCTTCTAAGTAGAGAATCATATTCTGCTTGGTATATCTGATGTAGCCTAAACTACATAAGCTATTTCGACATGATTTTACCAAAGAGGCGAGAAAAATGGTTAAAACTTGTAGATTGCAGCTTCTGAAAGGTTGAATTCACTTTGAAATATATAATGTCCATGCTACCTGTAGGCATCGCACGTATCTCTTTGTATACCCCACATCATTTACCAACGGAACTTCCAAGGCCTTGCCCAACTCACGAGCTGAAGCAACAAACCTGGAAATAAAATCACAGGTTAATGATCACAAAACATCTACTCTCTAGTAGACCATTACATTCATATTTATATATAATTAAAATATGTTCATAGTTCTTCCAACTAGTTCTTGAAGTTTCCTTCACAAGCATAAAACCTTTCTAAACATCTCCAAGAGAGGAGACAATTGCATGTCAAAATTTATGTCCTTCACATTGCCATGGAACGTGAAAACACCTAGTGCATCATAATCTAGTATTCTTATTTCAAGAAGTGCTGCAAAACCAATTTGGATCATTGAACTTGGTCATCATAACAAAGTTTCTCTAGATTGCTGAGATCTTTGATCTCTGAAAGAAAACTGGAATTCAAATAAAGAGTGAGAGCAAATTTTCTCCATCTGTATCTCTTAACTAGCGGAGAAGCACTGAGCAAGAGTAGTATTATTAGCTAACAAGGTCCATTATATATTTTTAATTCCTTTACCATCTAGGAAGAAGTTTCAAACATTCAAAATTCCATGAACTCACACTTCTTGAGGTAAAAAATGCTAAATAAATAACTAGTCAGTGGCTTATGAGCACTATGCACATGGCGACCTACTCCAATTATTCTCTGCCATCTCATTCTTTTAGAATTGAGAAGGAGAAAATTGCTGAGGCCTGTAAATTGCCATTGGAAGTTCCAAAACTTAGAGCCTCAATCCAACTACAATGCACTCTAAACTAAATTTAAGCTGAAGATCTGTCATTACATTCAAATGGTGACAGGCAGAAACCAAAAGGCAAGCCAGTTGACTTTGACGTCAATGAAATTACAGGTATCAAAAAAGGAGAAAAAATGGTAGTAGAAAGATCGATGACAGTAAGCAGCAATCACTTGAGGCAAATATGAATCCTTTAATTGATCATAGTAGCATAAAACACATTTGACAAAAAAAAATAAACTTTTACATAATGCCCACTCCCACAAGAACACCGTGCTGGGATGGCAGTTTTTTTTCAACGTATTTTCATTCTTCTCATGGGTATACAATTCTGTTTCAAACACTGCATGCAGAAAACTTAATCCATCAAGTGAACTTTACTCATAAATAACAACCCAGATTCCTGCTTGACAACAAAACAGCACGCTGACCAGATACGTACTTCGAAACCGAAATTGTTTCCCAAAACTAATATAACTAATGTCTCCTATTATTTCATGCTTGTACCCCCGATGTGTAAAAGATGTAGCAAGCATTACTCGATGGAAAAGTGATATCAATAATTCCCAGCTATTCACTTATTTAACTGCATAATTAAGTGAGAAAGTCAAAATATTATTTAAGAGGTTAATTTTAGAAAGTAAGAATATACATACATTATTTCATAAATGAACAGGATAAAACAATGATTACAGTGACATATTCATCATATCATTTCTATGTCATCTAGAATAGATTTGCTAGTTCCAGTTAATGTGAGACAACAAAATGCAGATCAAGAGAACTCGGTGCATTTCAATATGGAAGTATACTGTACAGGCAAACTTACCAACCTCCCACACCCTTTCAAGGATGTGTCTTGCCAAATCATAAATAGGTAAATGTGTATCTATACATGTATTGAAGAATACGTATGTTGATATATGAGTGCCTAAGAATATCTATCCCGTCCAATCAGGAACAGTTTATCTTCCTTTGTTATTTGTGTATCTAAGTGAAAAGGCTGATCCAATGGTAGTCTCCTTGCATGATGAAATAAATCTGAGGCAGACTCATGTTTAATATCAATATACACATACATGATATGTGTATCCCAATCAAATGTGTAAGCTACTTACAACTTTAAGATCAATATGGAAGTAACCTGAACTTACATATTGCAGTTATTTTGAAGCTCCGAAACAGAGACGTCAGATGGCGTATTCTGAGTAGCCGTCTGGTACTTCTGCGCAGCAGCTCCGAGTTGGTTAACCTGCAGTGTACATAAAACAAAGAAAGACGTGCTTAAATGGTACTGTATCACAAGGGAACTTATTTAGAAACCAACAAACAATCGAGTCGAAAACCTTAGGCTAAAGTGGCACCCTAAAGATTGAAATCAGAAACCGGGTACATTTTTTACTTCAAAAATTCCTAGACCCACAGAAAACAATAAAAAAAATTCAATACAAAGATGCATCCACAGACCACAGCAACTATCTAGGCCAGTACATCCAAGATTTCAATATCATCACTTCAACCAAACAATCATTCAACTCCTCCTTTCCAAATAAGGATATGGGGATTTAGGAGGTAAGGAGGAAATCATATCATTTATCCCTCTTTCACTTCCATTCATGTTTTTCCAACTTGAAATAGAAGAAAAGAAAAATCATCTTTAAAGAAAAGGAGGGATGGGGAGCTAAACATCCTTGCCCGCTATTAGAAAATCACTTATTCACAAACTTCGTGTGGGACTCGTATTCCTCATTTCCCATCTCACGGTATGGTATGCGAAATGGCTCAAATAATATTATCCGACGATCATAATCTCATTAAAACACAAACTATTACAAAGACATGAGGACCTCAATCCTGCAAAAAGCACATCAACAATATGTCACATGGAATGGGCTTCCAACAAGAACTCCCAAGTGGTCGAGTGAATATTATTTCTATAACCTACTATGCCCTTGTTTGGTGGAAATTAAAATCAGATTTTTAGTAGATTTTGATAGAATTTGATGAAATGTGCAATTAAAAAGTTGTGGGACTCATAAAATATGTGGTTAAAAGTGATTGTTGACCTTAACTTAGGGCCTGTTTGGCAACACTGAAATTTTGGATTAAAAGTGAGTTTTGGACCGTTGGACCACTCAACGGTAGCATTTTCACAATCCGGGCTGAATGTGTGTGAGAGAAAGTCAAACAAAACGGCTAGAAAATCAATTGCACCCTGTTGAAAATGGGAACCAAACACGCTCTTAGAGATTTTAATCTGTACCAAACATGGCCTATATATCATAGCTAACTGGTAAATCAAGGACACATGTCACACTGTCAGTCAAAGATTTTATAGATGTCATGACACATGTCTCGAACGACCACAACTCAAAAGACAAACCACAGTATTTGCAGACACAAACACACTCAAAACAACAACATAGGTTCAAAGTTGAATTACAAATCTCAAACCTGAGGTATCAGCAATCTTTTAGGAATCAGCTCTTCATGACGTCGAGCACAAAACTCCCAGGAGCATATCTAATGACATGATGAATCAGAGATAGTTAAACAACAGCAGCTCAATAAATATGAAACAACTTAAATGGAAAGAAAATATTTTGAGCGCAACCTTGAGGTCTGGTGAGAATATGATTCGAAGTTGCCCATCACGAACAACACGAAGTTGCTCAAATACGCTCTCCTGAATGGCTTTTGCGTAATCCAGAACAATTTGCCCAGATGAATTCTGAGACTCCTTCGGCATATCAACATAGAGTAGCTCTTCCATGGTACCGCTTTCAAATTTTATTTTGAACAATCTAGGCAGAACCTCAGCAGTTGCCTCTGACAGAAAGTATAACAAACTTTAGGTTCTGAAGTAGTTCTTTGTTTACTTCTCTTTATTCCTTTTTCCGTTTTGAGTTTGGGGTTGGTAATTGGTATATACACGTTTCAGTGGACTTCCAAAAATTAAACCACGATCAGAGCTTCTCAATCCATAATCTAAATCTATCTACAATCTACAAATAGTGTGGATAAGTGAGAATCACTAGATTTCCAATTTTGTCCTATATATATTGTCAACATTTTGATGGCTGATTCAATTGGCTGTCACTCGTCAATTAACTTGGTACTTACATATAATATTTCTAATTTATATCATTAATATATAATAACTTTTGAAACACTGTTTTATTAGTAAATATAGTCCATCTTGTGAGAATCAAAAGATTTTTGCTAAAACATTTTTAGTTGTTTGCCCATTAAAATGCCTAATTCAAGTTGTCATTATTCGGTCACTAATTTAGTAATAAATATAGCCCATGTTGGAGATAACGGAAGGAGCTGGAAAGATTTCAAGGTGGTTTTTTTCAAGATTTCTGGTAAATCATTGTTAGTATATTGTACCCTTATTTAATGGTTGTTTCATTTGGCTGTTTCACACTTACTGTTTTTAATTCATGCACGGGTGTTATTGGTTTTCTTTAGGTATTAATATAGACACATGAAAAAAGTAAAAGATTATTATAAAACAAAAAAGCTTTTCAGGTTAAATTAGAACATTTTCAAATACATTATACTTCAAAGTTTAAATTTAAAAAAATACCAAATAATAAATGTACAGATTAATTCAGAAAAATAATTATGACTCACCACAAAAGCCAAACCACCGGATAAACGCATGGGAAACATCGAAACATTGTTACAAAAATGTTTCAGGATAATAAAAACAATTTTCAAACACATGATACCTTAAGTAAAAAATACCAAATGATAGCTGTAAATAATTCGGAAAAACCACCAATGGTGGTGGCATTGTGGATCATCTGAGCCCATGCTACTTATATATGGACCCGGTGTCATTAGGATCCAAGTGAAGCTGAAAAGCAACATAAGCCACAGCCCACTAATTCAGCTACAAAGAAGAAGATACCTAAGTAGGTATTTGAATGTTCCTAACTTGGGTTTCTACATTGTCAGTCTTTACATATTTCAGAGATTTATTATCAAATCTAAACTTTTTAGAAGATATTTTTTCTTATTTTTAAGATCAACTTATTGAACGAATTCTCCATTTTGTAAATTGTCAATATCATAAATGACTTCATCGACATCTAAAAATCCAACAACAATGCAGTCAAGTTCAGCTACAGTTCCATAGGAAGAGTCAAATAATTAACTTGATTAGAAATACATTATAGGTTAAAAAACTGAAAATTTAAATACTTTTATCGTACCATACATCGTGCAAGGCACGTTTATATAACTAGTTATCTTAAAAGGGAATAAAATTGAAGAAAATACACCATAACAGATCTATTCATAGCTGGCAAAAGAATTGATAATCAGATCAGATCTCAGAGCACAGAAGAAATGCATACCATATCCACGACCAGGCTTGCGGTTGCATATTTCACAGTGCCAGACGTCCTGCATAAATGCAAAACAATGATAGATGACAAATCCCAGTCAAATATTGTACAGAGAAAATAATTGTCAATTTTGAGAGCAACTGCAAAAAGATAGGCTTAGAAATAATTAATATTACGCTAAATTTCTTCAGAAAAATTAAAAATGTTTAAAATTAAAAGGCCTCACTGTAATTGTTAAACAATATTGGCATAAACTGGATGGGATGTCCTTAAAGAATTTAAACATAATCAATATGTCTACCATCAAATCAGACCTGATTTAAAACTCCAGTAGTTTGGCGGCCACTTGCATACATTGAAACGCACCATTTTTTCTTGGCATTTGGTGCAAAAAATTCGGCAACAAATTTTCTCCAGAACTCAATGTTATTGTCCTACAAAATATGTCACACAAATGTCATTCGTAAGCATACCCTCTGTCAAACAAAAGACCCCTTCCAAACTTTTGCTTTTCTAAACAAGTAAACAAAAAATTTGTAAATAATATCTCACTTCAGGTCTTTGTTGCTGTTGATACATATAATGTGTTAGCCGTTGCGCACCCATCCCAGGCTCATATACCGTCTTCACCGGAGACCTAATAGAAAAATTCTGTGGTTGAAACTGCGCTTGTAGCTGAGATTTTTGTTGAGGAATAGCATTTAAGGCTCGCTGTTGTTGCTGTCGCTGGATTTGCATAAGTCTCTGTTGATGGAATATCTGTGCAGCTGCAGCAGCCTGAGGGGACTGCCTTGATAGGAGCAGCTGCTGCTGCTGTTGCTTATTTACAAACGAAGATGGGTCTGGTTGTTGGGATTCCATATTGACAGGCGCCAAGCTTCTCATATTTTGTATTTGTTGAGGTTCCAATTTGACAGTACCAAGATTCCTCAAACCTTGCAACTGCTGTCGTGTTTGATCATTCATTGCATGTGTCTCCAGCTTAACAGGTCCAATACCTCCTAGTCCAGCTCGCGTTGTTTGAAATGGCTGCTGATGTTGGTTGCCAGGAACAGAAAATTGCTGTAACTGATGCTGATTAAGCTGAAAATTTAGAGGTTCAAGTTGCTGAGTGTGTAGCTGGTCAGCCAACATTTGGTTGCCAGTAGGGTTTGGGAATTGTTGTTGTTGCCCTTGAACTTGACCGGATGAGTTAGGGTTAGTAGTTATGGACGCGGACGCATATGGAGACGGATTAAATCCTGCCCCATTTGCTACACCGGAAAGTGGATCAGATTCAGCCCCGTTTTCAATAAGCCGCCGCTTCCCAAGAACAGAGAGTCCAGAATTCGGGACCCCCTTACTAAATGACTGCTGGAGCAAAGATGAAACGTTGGGCGCATTCCCCAACATGTTGATGTTGTTTAACTGGTTACGAGGTGACATCAAAGACGGGAATGCAGTCTGCGAAGGCATCCCACTCCCTTGACCACTCAACAAATCGGAATTTGATCTCATTAATGATGGTGGAACAGGCAGGGCTCCACTGAGCGGAGCGGGTGGCCGTTCTGGCACCATCTTTTTGCCAAGTACTAATCTAAATACACTGTAAAATACAAATTACACTCCTTGAACTAACATTAATCTCAACAAATTACAAAAAAGTGTGTGCAGCACTAAATTGTTGTACAATTTAACTAACAATTTACGCACGACCAACTGAAGTCAAAGTTTTTGAAATATTATTTTGAACCAAAACATTGGCATAAGCCTCTTGCATGAGAATAAAATACCCTAATTTGCAGAATTGAAGTTGAAAATCAAAAATTTCAACCCAAAGATATAACCTTTTTCTCTGAACATCCTAAAATCAATCCCTATTAAAACATATAGCTTTTATGTGAATTATGTCCTTTCCCTTGTCTACAACAGAAGTGAAACCGAACAATTTCAACCCCAAAAAGAAGAATAAAAGGAAAATGGAACAAATAGAAAATCTTGAAAAGATGAAGTGAACTTATAATCCAAAAAATTCCTAAACTTGAGCCGAAGTGAAGTACAAGAATGACCATTTAGACTCAATAAAGCCCTAAATCATGTAACAAAAACACTCAATTTAAACCCCAAATGAAGCTATATTCTCGGGGGTTTCACCCTATAAAATACTTACATTCATAAATATATATACATATGGTATGCGTGTATCAAGACGTGTATATAAAAATTCAAAACTTTAATCTATAAAAACAAATAGCGAAATGAAGAGGAAAATCTCACCAGAATAGGATTTGAACAGCACTGTCAAAACCTACAAAATTGAAGTTCACGGACGCTCGTTAAACTTCTCCATTAGCATCAACAAATTTATTTATTCATTCATTCCTCGAAAAAACATAAATAAAACATTAAACTGTAGATTTATATCTGTGTTTCTGTATGTACATGTAGCTGTCAAAAGTCCTCTCAAAATCTTCAGTAACTAGAGAGAGAAAGAGAGAGTTTCTTCTTGAGATGCTGGACTGTACTTTTTTGAGAGAGTGCGTGCGTTTTTATTGCGGACGTCAAAAATACATTGGATCCGATTTAGTTATTTACTCTAAATTAAGTCAAAGGGTTTCTTCACTTGGTGTATGGTGCCTATGTCGGTCTTAGATTCGACGTCGACTCGAAAAAGGTACAAGTTAGATGATCGGATAGCACAAACGAAATTTCAATTTCACGAGATTGGTTCTTAAGTTAGTTTAACGGATTTATGTTTTCGATATTATTTATGATTGTATCGATCTTCAATTTTTCTGGTTAAGTCAGTCGGTCGATTGATCAATCCAATCTGATAGGTATGCCATCAAAAAACATATGATTATCTTGAAGGCCACCCAACTCATTCTTCAGGGATATTTACTAAAATGCCCCCAGATTATTATTGATATTTGCAAGTTGTATGTGGGAGATAGAGTCTAAAGACTATAATACCCCTGTGGGAAGGGGACGTTTGGATACCTAACTTTCTTTTTTAAGGTTATAGTAGTTAGCCATTGGATTCCATTCTATTTGCCATGATAAAAATGTTCCAATAAAAATGTTCTAAATTTGTATATTTGTACCAAAAGGTTCTTTTTAAAAGTTAACGAATAGCATGTCCAAGAATCTCATTATACTTTCTAAAAGGTAATATTTAACTTATTTTTAGAAAATAACTTTTAAGTAAAATCAGATATGGTCTATGACTCGTGCTTTAACCACATCCACGTTATAGCAAAATAGGCTATGGATCGTGACATAACATCACATGTGAACAATAATAAACCTGTGCATGTTATGCTGATTTTCGATTTTGTTATAGCTCTCTTGAATAAGAAATTAAAGTTTAATCGTAACAAGATAGACATATGTGCTCGTCAACGATGACCACAATTATTTGCTTGATTTTTGGTCGGCTATGATTGCAGCCGTTCGATTTTCGATTTTGTTATTTCTCTATAGTAATTGCTGAAAGATTCTTCACTTTCACATCAGCCTTTAGAGGAATGTTTGAACAAAGAAAGGAAGCCCAAGCAGTATACAAGTTTAGGGGTTCTTGAATTGAACTACAGCAGCTCTCAGAAGATTAATACTATGGAAGTTTTGCACTATTGGTCCTTGATCTATTGCTAAATATGCATATCGGATTATTGATATTAGTTGATCATGTTTAGTATGATGTATGAAATGTCTTCGTATAACCTCTATTTGGTGTAGATTATTAAATTTTTAAATTTAGATAAAAGTTGATGAAATGTGTGCTTAAAAAGTTATGAATCTCACGAAATATGTAATTAAAATTAATTGTTGATTTTGATTTGAAATTTTAATTCAAAGCAAACACGGGCATAATGTGCATATCTTTTGAAATATATGTTTCGATAATTATAACTAGAGAATTTAATTTGTTGGCTAGAAAAATAGTCTTTCAGTATCGCATTTCGTAGATTTTATTTATTTATTTTGGGTTTATTTATATGAAATTAAATATTAAATATAGTGGTGCAGCCAAATAAAAATCTATTAATTTAGCAATTTTTCAATTGATAAGTAAATGATTTATTAATTTATCGATTAATTAATAACTTTCTAAATTATCAAGATATTTCTTATTTTCTCAAATATTGTACATTGTATTTAGTTTCTCATTTTACGAATTAACAATTCTATATATTAGAAAATGAGATTACTTTCAATCAGAAATAAATAATAAATTGAGTCACGTGTCAGGAATGCCTCGTAGTCGAATCATAAATACTATGCATCAAGAAATTATTAATTGACATGTCTCAAGTTTTTTACCTTTGAAGTATCACTTCAACATAGTCCATATCAGAAATTGCTAAATATAAAGACAATATTTGAAGAGAACAAGTAGAAAATGCGTTCTGCAAACTTTACTGATGCACAAAACTAGAGGTTTAAATCTCTCTATCCTATACGTTGTCTATTAGCCAATTCAATAACTATGAAGGACATATTATAAGACATATTGAGATGTGATTTTTCGATTAAACAACTCGAAAAGAATCAGCTATCTTTTTCAAATCCTTATAGTGCTTCTTCCATTGAAGACCTGAAGAACCAAGACAGCGAAAAAGTGAGAAATACTGAAATTCACGGCATTAGGCTCGAAGAATAGGCCTGGAAGTTTACCATTTGCAGTTACACTGAACAAGTAGAGGCGATTTCCGGCTGCAGTTGCAGTGATTAGTACATGAGGTGGCTCTAACTCGAACTGATAGTACTTTCTTCCTGAGTATTCTGCTACTTCTGAGCTTAACACCTTTCCTTCTACGTTCTCACCAATTACCTCTGGCCCGAATGCATTGATTACTATCTCTGGAGGGCCTATTCGTTCTATTGTGGCGTCATCACCAATATCTGTGCAACATAGAGCAATCAAGATTTTAGTTCTTTCAATAATACAATTGACTTTTATGTATAACATAAGAGTTGGATTCCCCCAACCCCAGGCTGGGTGTGGGAATCAATCTACAGATTAAGGGACAACACTAAGATAGGCTTTCGACATAAATTGTACACCACAATCAGAACATGAGCAGGTAAGTGTAGGGAGATACCATCCGCAAATCTTCGAACAGGGGCAACAATTACAAAAAGGCGTCCTTCTTTTGGGCTAGCAAATCTCAAATCAATCTCTGTGCCTCCAAGATCAGCAATTGACACTGGAACCTGTTGAGAACCATAGGAAGAATATCTAAAGAAGAAAAAAACTGGCTTTGTAGAGAGGGATTCTGAGGGTCGTTAAATTGTGTGGCCTAATTATACTAGTAGCCATGATATTCTTATTTCTTGTAACATATTAAGGATGTTTAGGGATCTTATTTCTTGTAACATATTAAGGATGTTTAGGGGTCTTTTTTCTTTGAAATCACTTATAAAGCCTCGACTCTCTAGATGCTTACCTCTTCCCAGTCTTGAGGAACTGAGAAGGCATATGGGATGATGGGACTCCACCCAACGCCATGGCCTCCCGACTTCTCTTCCGGTCTTTGATATGTCCTCCAACCTGTCTGGGCAGTTTTTCTCTATTGAAGATGAACATTCATTGAGAAACTAAACCATAAAACAGCTGAAAAGTTCGAGCATCTCAAATTTTAATCCGTAAAAGGGATTTATAAGAGGTATTTCTTCAGAACATAAGAGATACATGAGATTACAAACTTTAGTTTAATTGTATGTTAACAATGGTGATACTTTTCCAAAGAACGTAAAATGAGAAAAAGTCGGTGGAAATGACATCCCTTATGAACATGTGTTGTGGGATTGGATGGTATTAAAATTTTAGTCGTTATACCGTCCTCTAATATTGCCTCCAAAGCATACGTTTATTGAACAAAGTAAAAGTGTATACCATGATTCTTTGTCAAATTCAAGATTCACACAAGCAAAATGCTCCAAGATCATATCTAAGACATAATGTTTGTATGCATTATCCAATAACAAACATAAACTTTTCTTTAATTATATCTAGTCTTGTCCAGTCGAGCATAAAAAATACCTGAAGTACACAAAATTCCACGAAGACTAACCTTGTTCATTTGGTTCGGAGAGGCCAGGAATCCTCCCTGCTAAAGGACCTTGTTTCACCACTGCCAACACCTCTCCTGGAAACTCGAAAACTACTGATGAAAGTAAAGACACCCCAGTAACCATAGCAGCCCTCCTATTAAGCAGGCCTAATTGTTCCTCACTTTCTTCATTGACACACAAATTTCTCCTTGAGCCCAATCCCTTTCTTGGTGCAGAATGAACTATCAGCTGATTGCTCTTCCAAGAAAGACAACAAATTGTGTGCCCAATTGTACCCATTTTCTCTCAACCAATAAGTATGGTAGAGAGAGATGAGGGAGAATTCACTTTATCAATTTTTGAAGACTGTTCTATCCTGCGAGGCCTAATCTTTTATCACTTCATATTTGGCTGAAGATAAATGAATGGTGTGGAAGCTTGATGAAATGCATGGGCCAACTTGTGTAAAAGTGTTCTTTATCAAATTGTGGATTAAAGTGGACCACGCATCACTTGTTCATTGATTTTTGAATGAAAAATGAAAATTATATAATACTTTCAAAATAACTATATTTTTAAAATGAGCATGGCTGCTCATCCAGGGCCAAATCCAGGGGGCCGAGGTGGATGCATCTCGATCCTTGATTTGAATTCATGTGGGGCCCTATTTTTTCAAATCAGGGGCTGACACTTCAGCCCACTGGATTCTGGTCGGTCACTGACCCTGGCCGACCAACATTAATATTTTTAAAATAGGCACCTAGTCCATTGCACCTACAACTAAACTCGGCACAACTCAAGTGTAGAGGCAAGTCGATCGACAACACGGATCATGACAAGACAACCCGTGCCCAAAATATGCTTCCAAATGCACGATGATTCCTTTGCAGGGGACTGACGAACATGTGTGATAATGAAGAATGATTTCATCGTTTTATTTGGAATTTAGGAGATTCTCCAAAGAAAATAAAAGAGCATTTGTCAGTCACACCACCAAAATTACAATGTCTGAATCTATTTATCCTGGGATTTTTGAAAGCATCAGAATCATCATACATATTGCTTACTAAACAGAAAAAAATGTCAAAAAAATGTTCTTATCTCGTCCAGACTGCTAAATTCAAAGAAATGTTCGATGAAGCATATGAGCTTTTCAAAAAAAAAAAAAAAATGTTCTCTAATTGCCTCGAGAAATTAAACATCCTTGTCTCTATACAGCATCATGCTACAAAAGCATGACGTATTACATCAATGATTAATACATTTGAAGAAAGAATGATGGAAAAGGTAAAATATACTTGTAAAACAAGTAAAGAAGAGTACAGACAAACCAAAAGGTCCCCTCAAGACCATATTTAAGGCAATGGTATGGGTGGTTTCCATTTGCTGAATTCCACCAAATTTCTGTTCACTATAGATCCATTATGCAGCCAGAATGTCTCTGTTGACTGATGGAATTGCCTCACTTTCTTCTGAAGTTCCCACATAATTCCAATGAATGCAGAGCACGACTCAGATTCTGGAGCGTAAACCCATAAGCACCTTATCTTTCTACCCTGAGCTATCATGTCCTCTATGTTTTTATCTGCACAAACACCAAAACTTTTTTGACACAAATTAATGGATTTCATTGAGCAAGAAAGATGCAAAAAATAAAGCCTGCAGCCCGACCTGGAATTGATTCCAAGTAATCCAAAAGTTTGGGTCCTATCCGAGTGGATGGCCATTTGATTGATACATGAGTGTAGTCGACTACATTCTGAAAAGGTAATTCTACTTGATCTGATAAGATAACTGGAACACACTCCTGTTCAGCACGAGCAAACATAGGCAAGGAGTTCAAGAAAGAGTCATTATTGTGAGTGTGTACAAGACAAGAAGTGTAAAGTGCAAGATACGGACCACAAAAAATGACTCGTAAAAGCGAAGGGTCCACGACGATTCCCCACGTGGAGCCAGGCAGAATTTTGCATTTTGGAGGTGTTTAAAGTAATCCACTCTTCCAAGTTTGTCCGGGCCGCTTAACTTCAATTCTGGGGATTCCAACTGTTCAAATAATCAACATGCACATCTTTTTGGGGAATTGAGTACATAGATCATACATTTAAATTAACCAAAATTACTAGGAGCGTGTTTGGCTGAGCTTATAAGGTACATAAAAGTATCATTTTGGAAAGTATGTCTAAAGTTTCTAACAAACAAATAATCCAATTATCGATTCATACAAGGCGGTCTCAGTGGCATTTGGCCAATAGGTGATACTAATATAAGCAATATTTAGCATAACCAATGAAGTTGACCAATTTCCACAATCCAATATGCATAGTAAGCATTGGAATCACCATTGCAAATACCTGTCCATCGCCTTGACATTTACATGCTTAGAGCAATATTATAAATAATCAACTTAACCCATAGCTTCACCCCACACCATCCAGATTAAATAGTACGCACATATGTTAAAATGCGTTTTATCACTTTCTTGGAATGTCCCTACCCTTTGACCTGGAACACTTTTTTAGCATTATTTGGACTTGATTGATAAAAATATATTTAATTTATTCATTAAATTTCAGATTCCCACCAATTCTGAAGGTTCTGCTCATATAATGGGAACCTGAAATCCTTGATGTTTTGAAAAGTCATACTTTCTTTTGACATTCGTGGCTACATGATAAAGTTGCTAAATAAATCCATGAGTCACAAGAAAATGAGTTTCTCTTTTTCAATTTTTAATAAAAATTTGGACGAGTTCTGAGGGGTTCTGCTAACATAATGGGAACTTGCATTCTCCAAAAGCCTGAATCCTTGATATTTTGAGAAGTCATGCTTTCTTTTGGCATTTATAGGTACACGATAAGATTGCTAAGTAAATGCAGGACTCACAGGAAAATGAGTTTCTCTTTTTCAATTTTTTATAAAAACTTGGACAATTTCATTTTTGTTTCCCCTAAGTTTTCAATTTTCCGTAGGGGGTGGAGCGTTGGGAAGAGAAATATACAAAGACTTCAATGAACTATGCATATATGTTTGTAAGACTAATTTCCATATGGGAGCATACTTTTATCTAAAAAAGTAAAAGAAACAGAGTGCCAGCATTAATTCGCTTTCCATAGATATTATAGCTATTTTCTATGCAAGGATAGAGATTCTTAACCACAAAGTCAACTGCTTGTAACCCTTCAGAAAATCCACTATTCAAATAATTGTTTTCCTTTTGGAGAATTTTGAAGCACATGTATATCGGTCAAAAGAAAAATTGAAAGAGAAGATAATAACACAATCCAGAAAAGAAATGCATACCTTATCAGGGAATTCCTTTGCGAGCTCTATCAATTGCAAACGGCCGACTTTTCCTTGTGCTCGACCTAAAAAGTTTGCCAAATACTTCCTTTTTGATAAAGGCAAAGGGTCAACCAGCCTAGTCCCGTTAGCTGTCATCCCATCATCAACATTTCCAGGTATGATGATGTCTTTCCACGTATTGAAGGCACTAGTGTCTCGTTTATCTGTGCGGTCTCCCTGTGTTTACAATTATAAACATTCTTCAGAAAATTGATCTTGAAAAGATCTTTTAATAGGTTAAAATTGAAACTCTCAGCTTCAAACTTTTGCTTTTTAAAATATTCGGAGTCTTGAAGTAAACTGCCACTTATTACAACGACTTTATTATTTGGATGGCAAACAACCAAAAGGCAGGTTCTGGCTTCACCATGGTAACACAAGGGATATGTTGTGACAAGATCATACCTCGGGAGTCAGAATTATGGAACGGTTCAAATATGTCGCCCAAGACTTAAACAAGTGAGCACCAGCACCACTGCAATTTAGCGAAAAGCACCCATCAAAAATGATAAAAATTCAACAGATTCAATAAAAATGCTGGAACCCACTCGATAAATCAGCTTTTGAGCAGGTGGATAGATATACACTCCATTTTAATAGAATCAAAGAAATTTGAAACTAAGTAGAAAATTTCTACGAGAATTCACTTGCTTTCTTCTCCTTCCTTTTAAGTATGTGTTCTTCTTATGTTTTATAAGGGGAGCAGTTTTGATCTCGTGACAATGTCCCATTAAAGTAAACAACAATAATTAACAGTTTAGAGAACTTTGTTCAAGAACAACAACTCAAATTTATTCATAAGACTAATATTAACATATAAGCAATGTTCTAAAAATCTTGCTTAGGCTCGAAGCTCAGGCAAAATGCCTCACTTCGCGCCTAGACGCTTTTTTTTCCAATTCCTAAACGGTTGAATTTTTTTCCTTCCTCTCTTTTGTCTTCCCTATGCGCACTTTATTAATTTTTTTTATTTTTATCCTTTTTTTAAAGTCTTTTATTTGACTTTAACTTATTCATTTTTATTTTTTTTTAAAAAAACTTTTCATTTGACTTTAATTTCGAGTTTTTAAAAGATTTTACCTATACAAAAGTGAAAAATGACTTTATTTAAATAGTTAAATAAGCTTTAAACTATAGTGCTATCTAGATTATGTAATTATGATCTTGAGCCTCGTTATTTTGTTGCAAACTCTAAAAGCATGTATAATGTTCCTATAAATCTATTAAGCCCTTGTTAGGTCCCCATTATAATGAGATTTTTGGAATATTGTATTTTGGAATAATAATTTTTGGGAGAATGTGTGGGCAAAAAAGAAAGAAATTTTTTAAATTTACGTGTAATATTATTTTATTGGAATATGTATGATTGAAAAGAAGAGAGAAAAATGTATTAAAATTTTAACGGGAGCCAAACAGGGGCTAAATGGATCTTGTCTAGTTGAAAATTAAAACTATGAAAAACATTCTAATTTTTGCATTTTAAAAGCTTGAAAATTGTATAATTGACTAATGGTAGAAATAATTAAGTAAATATAATATTTTATAATTTTAGATGTTTGATATGTATTATTTTAATTATTAAATGATTAAAAATTTAAAATAATATTAAAAATAAGAAAACGATTTTTTTACACCTAAGCTTCGTCTAGGCTCATTTGAGCTCGTAAAGCTTGAAACTTCACCTAACCACGCTTTACGCTTTTTGGAACAATGCATTTAAGTGCTATGGGAGAAAAATAGTCATAATTATAATTAATGTATAATATGTAATTAACTAAGTAATTTATATGTTCCTAATTCCTAGATTATATTTCCCAGTAAAAGCAATTTCATCACATAAGTTGGCAATATGAATACTCGTGTGATCACAATTACCAAGAACTAAAACATCATACCTCGGGAAGACAAAAAAGTGGTCGCGCCCACCAGATAACCTGAAATATGGCATTTGACCTAAAACCTGAAACAAAATAGTGTTGGTGTGGATTACAATGTACAGTGCTCATAATTTGTCTCAAGTTGCCAGCCTTAAAATCAGAAGTCTCAGTACCTTGACGTATGTTTGGTTGATCTCTTTATCGTTCAGGCCACCCATCATTCGTACACATTTAACATAAGTTGGCACAAAGAACAGATCTGCCTCTTCTTTCTTTCTTGTCCGAAACCTCGACTGCAAAAGCAACCTGTGTATTTTAACCTACAGGACATGAAGAACTTATATATTAAAATCACAAAAAAAGGGAAAAAACCAAATGTCAATTTTGGGTGCCCTCTTGATCTTCCCAATGGTGGTGTTTCAAGGAATAAAGCTTCTATTTTCTTTTAATGAATAAACATAGGAAAGAACCACATTTCCTAAGTATTTGGGAAAATGACAAAGGGGTGCAGTTTATTTATAAGATCACTTATACGAGACTTATAATCTTATTATCTTGCTTGAATCTGGAATTATCAAACTACTTTCATTATCATGAAGGGGGCATAACTTCTTCACCGTATTACGAAAATCCAACATAAGCTCAATACACCTCTGGCTCAAAAATCACCAACAACCTACGAAACTAGTAACCTACCTATTGATGTATTGTTAACATAAATACCATTTATTCTTTATTTCCATGACAAACTGGTGTTCATTACACAATGAATCTCCTATTACTTGATTCTCAGCAAGGCATCAATTCATTTTGTTAGGGAATTATTGAGAGCAATTTCTCAAGGCCCAATCCCACTCCACCAGGCCCAAGTGAGGTTCCATCCCAAAACCAANCAATCATCTTGTACCGCCGTTATTACCGGCGTCCTCGACCAACCGGGACCCGCCGCCTAACCACCAATGTCAGGCAGACTTTCGTCTCAAGGCGCCTCAAACTCGAATGATTTTTAGCCCGATCGCCACCACGCTTTCTACTACGTTTCTCCGACCCTGGGCTCTGATACCACTGTTAGGGAATTATTCAGAGCAATTTCCCAAGGCCAAGCCCCACTCCACGAGGTCCAAGTGAGATTCCATCCCAAAACCAATTGGTAATGGGTGGAGTAGCCCACTTGGGTTATATGGTGGATTTGTTTTCTTCTCCCAACTAATGTGGGACTTCTTGTTTGCTCCCAACATATTTCCTTAAATTTTCTAACAGTCCCCTACCCAAAAAGACAATAAAACTAAATCGGTTATCCAAGAAAAAGTCTCCTCCCACTTTATATTTCCATCTGATATATCCAAATTCTGAGAGTATATGATTCCGTAGCCTCAAATTCGAAACAAAATTTATCAACTGATCCAATTCAAGAAAAGGCATATATGTCTAGTGCTTCCTCAACAATGTCGATTCTTCCAAAATGTATACAAAGTCCAAGTTTACTGAGAAGAATAATTTGCTCAGTAGTTGTCGTTGTAGCAGTAATTTCAACATTACTGAAGTCGATTAAGCATTTCATTATTGAGCAAATATAGACTTTCAATTACCACAAATAAAAAACATAGAATATCAGATAAAATTACCTGAGTGCCCCACTGGCCTTTGATGCAAGCCTCGGGAGAAATCTTCCCTTCACGGCCATACAACAGCAGCTTGAGTCCGTCAACCTCGTTCTCGTCATACACATAGATCTTCAAATTCAGTTGAGTCCCATACCCTCTCTCAGGCCACCCACCCGAATCCCCAAATCGCACAACGCCGTCGTATTTCCGATTTACATCGGGGAATTTGTTTTGGTACGACGAAGAGCAGGGTCCCAGAGAGTGATCGAAGAGTCTAGTGAGAAAGAAAGTGGTGACTACTATGGCTAGGGCGGCGATCTGGTGGCTGCGGGTGCAGAAAGTAGTGGTGTGGTGAGTGCGAGAAGGGAAGAATCTGGTGCTTTTGTTTGCAGTGTTTATGCTCGTCATTGTTGCAGAAGAAGTAACGAGCTTCATTATTTTTTTCCCAAGTAAAAATTAAATTTCCTAATGGCATACCTGTAATTGTGGTTAACAAGGAGGTCAAATAATAGCAAAGTAAAATTAAAGTTTAGTGGTCAAGGTGATATTAAGTACAAAGTGTAATAGCCATTGGTGAAATTAAAAAGTTTCCTAACTAATTGTTTTCCGTGAGGCGTTAAATAAGGCCAAAATTAGAAAAGAATAATTGCAGATGCAGTCCAAAATCTTTCATTATTTTACAAATTGTACTCAAATATTTTATTTATACCATTCATAGTCCCAAATTTTTTAAGGAATTAACTTCACAATTCATGATAAGTCACGGGCAATTCACACGTTCACCTTTCGTGAAATCACAAGAAATGTATATGTATTGTTTTGAAACCTTGCACGTCAAGTTAGAAATAACTCTTTTAATTGTAAGCAAGTTTTAACATCGAATTGTTTCCGTAAATATTAAAATATTGAGATTTTGTCTAAAATATATGGATTCATTGTCGTCGATACGAATCTTACCATAATATTTGAATAATATTTTATTTTTTTTCCTTTTGCCCAAATCATCGTAATATCGCATTTTTGGAAATAAAATACATACATACATACATATAATCAAAATTGAAAAAATAGACAACAATCTATTCTTGGATTTTTTATTAATTAATATCAAGAAATGCTAAATACAAATCCATTTTAAAAAATATCCATATAAATTATGAACCCTAAGCCTCCTCTAAAATGAAACTGCAAAATAATAAACACATCTCACCCTCACCCGCTTTTTGACCGCACTCTTTCCATATCCGACCATTCTCTATTCTTTAATTATAAACGCCCCATATTGTCACTTCTTCAAATATTCCGAATCTCCACCGCCAATGGGGAAAGGCGGATAAGCAAGCAACCCTAGAGGCTAGAACGGACCGAAGGGAATAAACCAAAGGGTATTACCACTACGAATTTTATTACATGCACAATAATTTTAAATATATTTTTATTTACTTCAACAATTATATAAATAGAATTTTAATATATTTTTACAGAAAATAATCTATTATTCCACACCGTGAACAATTTTCGGGACCCTGCACAGCTTTTCCGAAATATACATGTAAGCAAAATATATTAATTAGTAGAATCACTGAGAATTTGGTTTCTTCTCCTCTGTCCTCTTCTCTTCTCATTCTGTTTGTGTATTGTTTTTATTTTTTTAATAATGATTTCGGAGTTGTAATTCCTATGTAGGACTATTGATATCGACGGCCATAGATTTAGAGGTGCATTCACCTGGAACCCTTCTGCTAACTACTCATGCTATCATTTCTTGAACCGTATATTTGTTAAACCGTAACAATCCCTTGGAACCGAAGAAAATTGGAGTGGGGTTTAAGCTTAAACCCATAAACAATTCCATTTACAGCTTTACAAACAGAAACCTTCAACTTCCAAAGAATTTATCGTTGTTGCTTCCGAGGTCAGTATTTATATCCCTTTTTATGTTGTTTAACTCATGATTGGGGATTTACTTCCATAGTTGGAATGTATTGGAAAATTCACAATTTTAGATTGGTGAACCTGTCTTTTGGTTTAAGTTTTGGGGGAGGGAGGTTGGGTTAAAGGCTTTTAATTTCTGAAATGTGAAGAAAAAAGAATAAAGCTTTCTGCATAGCTCATGTTTTTAAAGTTGTTCTGGCATTGGCAAGCTAAAATATGAAGGCTACACTGTATTAGTCTGCAAGTGCAAAGAACATGAATGAGCAGAAATCAATTTTTTAGTAAGTTTTCAAAAACATGGTGAAAAGTAGAACTCACTACATAGCAGTTAATTTATGATTTGACTACATTATCTCTAATTTCTAATTCTATTTATCTTTAATGTTGCAGGGGTTGTTGTATTTGAAAAAATGTGTGTGCAGTCATGCAGACAATTGATGTTTGCTGTGTTATTAAAGGATATAGCTTCATCATCTATATTGCATGCCTTCTCCATTTTATAGGCTACAAACAGGCCTTCCTTTTTATGAAATTCAAAAATTTATCCCTAGGAAATGGAGGCAAAGCATCAAACAACCATTGGATGTTCCCAAAAAAAGCGAGTCTCAGTCTCTTTATGCCTGCGAAAATATTATAAACTTTCAATCTACCCCAGATGAATCGATGGTGGATTGCCTTCTCATAACCTTGAAAGATTTTGCTAGCCAAGGTCATTTATCTAAAGCCTTCAAAACTTTTACTCTTATTCGAAATCATGCCTATGCGTCTGCTGCTTGTGATGTTATTGTACACTCATTATCCTCTCTTTTGTTGTCTTGCACCAACCTCAAGTTGCTTTCAGAAGGAAAACAACTTCATACTCAAGTTATTACTTGGGGTCTTCACAAAAACCATGCATTGGTTCCCAAACTCGTTACGTTTTACACAGCTTTTAATTTTCTAGATGAAGCACATATTATAACTGTAGCTTCAAATGTTCTGCATCCTTTGCCTTGGAATATTCTTATTTCTTCATACGTTAGCAAAGGGCGTTTTAAGGATGCTATCTTTGCATATAAACAAATGGTTTATAAGGGAAGTAGACCTGATAATTTCACCTACCCATCTGTTGTTAAGGCTTGTGGTGAGCAATTAGATATTGGTTTTGGAATGGAAGTTCATAATTCTATTAATGCTAGCGCTCTAGAGTGGAATTTGTTTGTGCAGAATGCTTTGGTGTCTATGTATGGGAAGTGCGGGGAAGTGGACACAGCCCGCAATATCTTTGACAAAATGCCAGTTAAGGATGATGTTTCATGGAACTCAATTATCTCAGGATATGCCTCCAAAGGGGAGTGGGTTGAGGCATTTAAACTTTTTGAAAGTATGCGGGCATCTGGTGTGGAATTCAACATTATAACATGGAATACCATTGCTGGAGGTTTCTTGAGAACAGGTAACTATGAGGGAGCACTCAAATTGCTGTGCCAGATGAGGATGAATGGCAATCGCTTGGATCCAGTGGCCATGATTATCGGCTTAGGTGCATGTTCTCGTATTGGTGTACTGAAGCAAGGGAAAGAAATTCATGGATTGGCAATTCGTATTTTTTTTGCTGAATACATTAATGTAAAAAATGCATTAATAAATATGTATTCTCGGTGCGGGGACCTTATGCATGCATACATTTTGTTCCAATCAGTAGAAGCTAAAAGTATCATCACCTGGAACTCCATCATATCTGGTTATGCACAGTGGGATAGGTATGAGGAAGCCTCCTTTATATTCAGAGATATGCTGCTTACTGACATTGAGCCAAATTATGTGACCGTTGCCAGCATTCTTCCTCTTTGTGCTCGTATGGCACACCTGCAACACGGCAAAGAGTTCCACTGCTATATTACTAGACATGAAAGGTTTAAGGATTACCTGCTGATATGGAATGCTCTTGTTGACATGTATTCAAGATCCGGTAAAGTTTCAGTTGCCAGAAGACTGTTTGATTTGTTGGATAAGAGAGATGTGGTGACTTATACTTCACTAATTTCTGGATATGGCTTGCAAGGAGAAGGAATAGTTGCACTCAAACTATTTGATGAAATGATCAGGTTCCATATAAAGCCAGACGATATTACCATGGTTGCTGTTTTATCAGCTTGTAGTCATTCAGGCCTAGTGGAGCAAGGTCAGGTACTTTTTGGAAAGATGCAATCTATTTATGGTATAACTCCTCGTTTGGATCACTTTGCTTGCATGGTCGATCTGTTTGGTAGGGCTGGTTTACTGAGAAAGGCAGAAGAAATTATATTGAGAATGCCGTACAAGGCAACCTCCGAAATGTGGGCAACTCTTGTTGGAGCATGTCGGATCCATGGGAATACAGATATTGGGCAACGAGCTGCAGAAAATCTACTAGAAATGAAACCTCAAAATTCAGGATACTATGTGTTGATTGCTAACATGTATGCTGCTGCTGGTTCCTGGAGTAAACTGGCAGAAGTAAGGACCTTCATGAGAGACTTGGGTGTGAGGAAAGATCCTGGCTGTGCTTGGGTTGACATTGGTTCTGGATTTTCCCCATTCTTGGTTGAAGATACTTCCAACAGTCAAACAAATGAAATTTATCATTTGTTGGGGGGATTGACTGAACAAATTAAACACATCAGTTATGTAGCTCACGAGGCTTCTGCTTTGGAGGATGAGTTTTTTGCTGAATCACTTTTATGAAAATGAAGATCTTCAGTTTGCTTGTTGTTCTTTGGGGGCATCACACATTATTTTTTCCTGAATAGATGATTGGCTGCACTTGAAGAAGAATATGTTTTAAAGATTAACATTTCCATACCATCTCCTGTGTCCCTATTGTTTTTGGTGTAGTGAGTTTTGAATCTCCATTTTTGCAAGCCTGATTGGATGAGTAAAATTTACCCAGAGTAAGTACTTTCTAAGATTTGTTCGGTTGTGTTGGTAGACGTGATGATGCAGAACGAAGACGGAATGATAAGTGTCTGACACGTTCTTTTTCAAAGTAAGCTTGCTTCTTACATAGTCAATTAGTCATTCTTTCCAAATTGACTTTGTTAGACAATTTTTTGATTAGTTGAAGACAAGAATAATTTTCTGTATTTCTTGTATATTAATCTATCTTATACAACCTCTCAATATATAATACAAGTGAGATAAGGGATAATGACTTTTTTTTTTTAATTTGTCCGCATCTGTTCTGTGCCAGCCTTGGATATCTTTCATCAATAGTCAGTAGTTGGTATTACTTTTCTGATGTTAGTTATAAGCTGCTTTTGTCAACTGCATTACTTTTCTTCCAAGGGATGATTGTTTTATACAGCCTAAAGTGAAGGACTTATAAGCAGGTTTTATGTGACGGTTCAATAAGAGATTCAGATGCTTTGCAATCGAGCATAATATCTGAATTGATGTGTTGAGAAGCTGTTATTTTTTTAAGATCTGCAATGGGATGGAAGGGAGTCTTGATATCATTATTATACATTGCCACTTTGGGGAGTCAGCAAGCAGATCAGCACAATTCTGGCCTGTCAATTTGAGCACTGTGTCGTGTACTTGATAGTGGAAATAGAGGGCGGGGTGGGGTTCTGACCTTAGATTTCCTATATGTGATTTTTGTCAATCTTACAATGGATTGAAACTGAGTTTATAAGGACTTATTTTTTCAAGTGATACCACCTTGCAAATGCCTGCCCCATGTGTGAAATATATTAACTTTGGTGTATTTTTCCTGCTGCTCATATCTTTTTCCCTCCTTGTTGGGTAGCTCCTATGTAACACTTGTAGAGCTTGATTAGAAGTTTTAATATCTTTGGGTGCTTGTTTGCATTCTTTTCTTTCATGACAGATTTTTCTCAATTGTGCAGGCTGTCCATGCCAGCCTTTGAAGATTAGTGGTTTCCGTTTAGTTGGTATTACTTTTCTGCGGTCAATTAAGCTTATTTTGTCAGTTGAATTGTTTATCTTCCCATGGATGACCCATTGAGTGTTTTTATGTGTGAGTGTTAGCTGCTTTATAATAGAGAAATATATTTTTGGGTTGTGCTACGTGTATATAATAATTTACATAATGGCTTACCAGATAATGCGGCGAGATTTAATTAAATCAAAATCTCATTATTCAAATAACTTCTCCACTTACATTTTGACACATCATCATTATATAAAACATTATGTAAATAGTTATGTTTCCTATATTTTCATTGATGTGTTGAGACTTGAGAAGCTTCAAAATTCTATAATGGGATGGAAGGGGGTATTTATCTATTTACTATATCTTCTTACGAGTTTGGGCGAATCAACAAGCAGATCAGCACAATTTTGGCCCATCAGTTTAAGCACTGCGTCCTCTTTGCTCTACAGCTGGGCAGTTTGCAGTGCAGCCATATTTGTAGTGGTGGCTTTTGTTCTTTCCATGTACCTTATCTTTGAGCATTTAGCTGCTTACAATCAGCCTGAGGTTCGTGTTAACATTTTCTCTTGAGATTTGTTTCCAATTTCTTTAGCTACACAACTTTTTTCTGCTAATTATTGCATTTGCCAATAGTTTTTAAACATGAGAAAACAATTTTTACTGCTTTTATTCTACATAGGGTGCTTTGTTTCTCTCTTATTTTATGTTCTAGACTTGATAGGCTTGCTATTTCTTTCATTTCAGGAGCAGAAATTCTTAATTGGGCTCATTTTAATGGTTCCTGTTTAAGCACTGGAATCGGCGATGTTAAATGGATTATATCTTTATTTCCCATTTACTTTTGACATTAAAGCATTATCACAATTCATTTTATGAGCCATTTAGGTAAGATCATTCTGACGCACTGCATAAATAGAGAAGTAATTTGAGAATTTCGTTTCTTTCCTTTTTTATTTTTTTAATCATTTTTCCTGATTTAGTGATCATACTTGGTAGTGGAAGTTTTATCAATTTTTTCTGTACACGACAAACTTCACATGGAAAGAACAAATACCATCATTTTTTTCGATCAATTGAAGAACTACTTTAGTTTAACTGTTGCGGTAATTTTTTACCGGTTTGAGCAGAAAAAAGCTTGGCTGAAGACTGGATAGCAGCAAGTTATACATGGCCTTCATCACCAGAGGCCTTATTTAAAAAATGTGGGGTTCTTAAATTACTAGAACTTGTTCCATAATAATTGTCATCATCTGGTTTTCTGTTAACAAACTGTAATACGTAGTACTATTTTACCGTGGAGTAATTTCAAACTATTACAGAGAAGAGTTGACAATGTTTGGGTAATTTATTGTGTGCTTAAGAAGTTCTGGTTTTTCTATTTCTTCTATCTCCCCCCCCCCCCGGCTCCCACCAACCTTTTTGATTTCTTATTTCTGTTATTTTGTTTCGTTTATGGTTCTTATCTTTGTTACATTCAGATGCGGCTTTCAACTGTGAAATTATACAGGATTGTTATGAAGCTTTTGCCTTGTATTGCTTTGAGAGATATCTCATAGCCTGCTTAGGTATGTCTTCATTTTCTGGGTGCTCTTGCTGTTGCATTTAGCCCTCTGCATTATTCACTTATTAAATAATGATGATTATTCAAGATCAGAATAGTGTTATTATTTAATTTCATTTCTAGCTATGGATTTCTTTGTCTTCTTTAACTATGATAAACTATAGTATGTTGAACTATTGATGCTTTGAGAAAATAGTATTTTATAAAATTTATTGATACTACTGTAAAAATATAATTAGAAACACTAATATTTTTTTTTTCGTCTTTATCGTATTTTCTGTGCTAGCTTTAGCTTTAGATACTTTGCAATAATGTTGAACTATTGATGCTTTATATATTTTTTTCTCCTCTGTTTGAATCTTAGTCTGCAGTTGTCGCTTGCAGAATATATCATGATTAAACTGTGTTTCATGACCTTATCATTTCTCTCCCACACTCGAAGGAAAGGATTTTCATGTAGTAATGATAATGGACTAACTTGCGAGTTGATGAAAGCCCAATTAATGCAGTGGTGGTAGGTTTAGGAATGACTTTGGTTGTTATTTATTGGATTGAAGCAACAGTGTGGAATTGCTGAATGTTAAGTAGTTATAGAATTTCTGGATAAGTTGAAATCAAATGTAGGTTTTTGAGAAGAAATATGTTAAAGGTGAGTAATGTATTGTGGCTTGCAGGTGGAGAGGAAAGTACAATTCACTTTATGGAAAGTCAAAGCTTGTTCGCTTCTAGTGTACCTCTTCTGGATGAAGCATATGCTTATGGAGTTGTTGAACATCCTTTTCCGTTAATTTGCTTTCTCAGGAATTGGCAGCTTGGCTCTGACTTCTATCAAGCTGTAAAAATTGGCATTGTTCAATATGTATGAACTCTATTTTTGGGACCTTTTTTTTATTTTATTATCAATATGCAAAAAATCAATAAACTATGTAAACATTTGATGGATCTTCAATATGTAAAAATTGACATTGTTCAAAAATTTGAACGGTAAGAATGATAGCTAGAATCAATCATCAATCTTGACAAGACATTTAATATTAGAGAAGAGGTTAAGTTTGTAGGTTGAAGATGTTTACTGATCTGACCACATTTAGGTACTTTGTACATAGAATCTGTAATCTAGTGTTAGTTGTGTGGTTACTTGGGAGTTGCAACCTTTACTGATTTTGGTCCTTTTGTCGTTCTAGTTCATGTCATGAATAGTTTCAACATTTATTTATTTATTTTAATTTTACATGTTTGATTTTTGGGTATTATAAGAAAGGTTATGTTCTTAATTAATAATTATCTTTTGTCTTTAATATATAGAATGTGTTGCTGCTGTTATACATCTTTACATTTTCCCTTCTGTACCTTACAAGCTTGGAGATAGACGTGTACAAATGTTGCTGTGATGACAGATTATCCATCTTTAGGAACCACACCTGACCCTGAAGAGGTTAGAGATTGTGAAAGATCTACCAGGTTACACACTTCTCGACATGAGGAGAGAGAAAAACATATGAAACTCCATCATTGCGTGCATGATGTGGTTATTGGAAGCGGCGAAATTGTGAGATCAAAATTTCTTTTTAATGGAATTTCTATTGCCCTGAAACCCTTGTTTTACTGCCATGGTATAGATTGCCGATGATATGAAGTTCACAGTTTCGCACGTCGTGGAACCAGTTGAACGTGGCATTGGGGGAAAGAATTCTCAAATGTGCACGATGACATTATCAAAAGACAGCATTTCCAGTCTAGAGGGACATCTTCTCGATCCACATACAGATAGCATATGCTGTTAACAAATTGTCTGCCCTCACAAACTCGTTAGGTATGTTTCCTGGCAGAGGTTTCTATTCTTTATCGGTTTCTGATATATAAGAGCATGTTTGGCGAAGCTTAAACTAAGTAAAAGTTACTTTTAAGCTTAGCAAAGCATGAGAAGTTGTTGTTCCAGGTAAATTATGCGTTTCTAATACAAAATTTTCAGGTTGTAAGTACCTTAAGTGTGTCAACATTTTATACACAAGCGGCTCGACATTGTACCATATAATGATCTCTGGTGCAGGCTCAACATTTAATCCTATGTAGAATTCTTATTCATTGAACGTACATTTGTCATGACAATTCAGGTTCGAAGAATTAATACGAATAAAAATTTAAATGCACTTTCGTGCGTATTGTTGGACTCAATCCAATACTTTTCACGGTTGTCTTACTAGTGATCTTTGTTCTATCACTTCATGCATTGTAAACACTATTTTTTTATAGAGATAAACATGCTTTCATATCTTCTTAATCCGAAAATGTAGAGAGTATCTTATGCTTCTTAAGACAAGCAGCCCTAAAGGAAAAATGTCACGGAATTTGTGACCATTAAATATTCTTGATAATTACCTAAAAATTGACATTATTATATAGAGTAATGCTACATTTACAAACTTGGTTCACATTCACTTTCACATCTCTCTCATATAAGAGGTGGGGTCTGCAATTTTAAAAATCGCGGGCCTCACCCCCTATGTGAGAAAAATGTGAAAGTGAACGTGAATCGAGATGTGTACATTTAGCATTTTTGTATTATGTATGATTACTGTGATTCATTTTCTATGCAATAAATAATGATAACTATATTCATATTGCGAGTCCATTGATCGGAAATTTCGACTATATTAGGTGAATATTCTTCTCGTAATCCGCAGCCACTGACCCACAAGTAGCCAAGTTGAAGATATTTTATAGTCAACAAAAAAAAACAAAATTTGGTGGAGCTGAAAAGTAATTTACGTGAGGGCGGTTGTTTCTCGTACTGCTATCACCCGTACTAAAATATCACGAACGTACTACAATTGTGTGACTTTGTCCAAGGGAAGGGAAGGGAAGGGTCGGTCTGATTTGTTCTGAATGCATTGAATCTGCATCTATTTCTTCATGAAATTTTTGTTCGAAAATTTGACGAAGAAAAGTAAGCCATATTTGGTTGTCTTTTTTGAAAAAAAAACAGTTTTTGAACAGTAAATTTTTGGAGAATGTGTAATTAAAAAGTAGGAAATTTTGGATTTATGGATAGAATATTTTATTTTGTGAATGCGTAGTTAAAAATGAATATGTAAAAAAAATATTTTGAAATAATGAGTGACAAAAGGGGATTAAAAAACACATTAGCTTTTGTTTCGTATAATTTTTTTTTAAATTCATTTTTTTAAGAGTATATTCTGAAAAAACAATACTTTTTTATAAAATTTATAAACCCTTAATTTGACAAGGGAAAAAGAGGTTTTTTAAATTCATTCTTCCAAAATATTGTGATTCAAATACATCCTAAATCATAGAAGACTAACAACTAAGGTTGACAACCTCGGTTGACAACCATTCACATGGGAGATCCGCTTTTTTTTTTTTTTTTTTTTTTTT